TGCTCTTGATTATGTGCCCACACCTGTTTTAGCCATCTGCGGAAAGGAGTTTGGGAATAAATTGCATAGGAATTTGGGGATAAAATGGATAAATAAATTTGGCAGAACTGTTTTGAATAGTGAAGATTTAAAAATATATCTAGCAAGGTCTTCATTGTTGTTAAATTGTTACTATATCATAATAATCGCGAAATCACAATTTGTCGAGGTTTTGTACAGTGTGACAGCTTTATTTTTTCAAGCATATTTAAGTAGTATGGATTAAGAATAGTTGCTGTAAATGTCAGTCCACAAACTAAGATGTACTAAAATATATCTTTCATCTTTTCAATCGTTGAATTTAATTTCTATTTTATGTTTCCACTCTGTTGAGTGCAAGAGACTTAAATTTGTTAAATTGCAGGCCTCCCCTACCTACCCAGGGTCGCATTTAAGATTCAGAGTATCTATGGACTTACGAAGAATAGAGGCATTTGATCAGCACGGGAGTTTTGACCTGCTCCGTTTCCGACCTGGGCCGGTTCACCCCTCCTTCGGCAACCTGGTGGTCCCCCGCTCCCCGGAGGTCACCATATTGATGCCGAACTTAGTGCGGACACCCGATCGACGTAGCGCACTACAGCCCAGAACTCCTGGGCTCAAGCGATCCTCCTGCCTCAGCCTCCCGAGTAGCCGGGACCACAGGCGCGTGCCACCGCGCCGGGCCACCGCGCCCGGCCAGAGGCATTTGAAAGTGGACAATATTGTCCTTTGTCTGTAGCCCCCCAGGCTTTCATGAGATATGGACAGCGGCAGAGATCACCACCTATCTCTACAGGTATCCGTTTTCTCTTTCTTTAGTCAAAAACCATCTTATTCTTATCTGAGTGCATGACTGCCTACGCAGTGACTACATGTCCCAGGCTCCCCTAAAGCTAGGTATGGACATGTGTCTAAGGGCCGGTCAATGGGAGGTGAATGGGAATGATGTGTTAACCTCTGGGTCATGCCCTTAAGTGACATCTGCTGGCCCTCAGCTTTCCGTGGTCCTTTTTCCTCTTCTCCAAGGCTGGAATGGAGACATGGTGGTGATGAGCCAGGTTTGTTTCTGTGAGGGCAGGAGGGCAATATTCCAGCGGGGTGGAGAGCAGTAAGAGAAAAGGAACGCTGGGCTCCTGGATGACCTGGTAGAGTGGGGCAGCTCCAGCTCTCTGGGCTACTGCTGCTTTGACCTTGTATGTGATAGAAATGAGTGAAATGAGTGGTCTCTGTGAAAGCAGCTGAGCCAGTATCTTAAAGGACACACCCACTTTCCGGGGTGCTTCCTGCTGTGTCCCCTTTGTTTCTGATGGCCAAGCCTCTTCCTGTCTGTTGCTTCTCAGCGGCTGCAGCTCTGTGTTAGTGATATTCTAATGCTTCCTTACCAGCTGCACCATGGGAAACTCTGCTTCTGCACTTCTCTTGCATTTCTGGCATCATTCTGCTGCCACCACGCCACTCTGTGGCTTTGAGAACTCTGGGGGACTCACAGGACCATCTGCCTAGATAGAGCATACAGATTTTCTGCCTACTCCTATACACGGTGGAATAGAGTCCTAGTTTCTGGATTCCACCTAAAGAGGGGGCAGAATATTTTGCTCTAGAATCCCCAAACATATCTGGGAGTTTTATCATTCCTCTCCCAGCCTCAATCAGAGGGCTCAGTTTAGGATAAGAGTGAGATCAGCCTAGGGGCCCTTCTTAGGAGCCCACTGGTGTCTTTGCTTTTCTTTCGAATCTCCCTATTCCTCCTTATCAGAATCTTTTTGAGTATTAACAGTATGAGGAGCTCTGTTCTAACATGTCAGGTTTCCTTCTAAATATTTTGCCTTAATACCTGGGCCAAGCTTTACAAATATTTTGTTTTTCCTGTTGGTTACCAGAGGGGACGGCGGGGGGGGGGGGGCCTGGGGGGAAGGGGGCAAGGATGGGTGAAATAGGTGATAGGGATTAAGGAGCGCGCTTGTCGTGATGAGCACCTGTGTTGTGTGGAATTGTTGAATCACTATATTGTACACCTGAAACTGATGCAACCCTGTGTGTTAACTGGAATTCAAATAAAAACTTAAAAAGAAAAAAATGTTTTCTTTTTCTGGGTTCTGAGGTATCATTCCTTCTCTGAGGCAGCTAAGGCAGAACATCCCATGAGGTAGAGGGTGGTGATAACTAAAATAACGCAGATAGACAGAAGTGTTTGTTAATATTTCAAGATTTCATCTGTCACTTAACTTGCAGCCAATATTGCCAAGGACGTGTCTTTTTAGGAGTTTCTTCAGCCAATAAATAAGAATTATCTGTTGTGGTGCAGTGGGAAGGTTCATTGGCTCAGATTTACAGGTTTGTGTTCCAGTCCTAGTTTATGCCCGTGCTTTGGAAGCACACTTTCTATGTCAACAGTAAAGTGCAGTTCCAAATGTTTGTCTCTTTTATCTGTGGACTTTGACTCCATTGATTGTGTAACATTGGGAAATTGACCTAGATTTCAAGTTTCAGTTTTTGCTATATATTTCCATAGCACTTTCTACCTCAGACAGAGGGAACTTCTGTGGAATAATAATAATAGTTTATGTTTAAATAGCATTTCTAAATTGTAAGTATTATTCTTAGTGCTTTACATATACTATTTCACTTGTGACTCATTTATGAGGTGGATACTGAGATACAACCCAAAATAGAGGTAGGATTTAAACCTTTACAGTCTGGTTCCAGGGTCCGTGCTCTTAATTATTAAGTTAGGCAACCTCTTATCACAGGAAATATTTTGAAGGAAAGGAATGAAAAGGTATTGTAATTATTATTGGAGTGCTCTCCTGGTTTGATTTATAAGTACTAATCTTTCAAAAGCAAACTATGACTCAACTCTATGTAAATTATCCCAAAATTCAGGTATGCTAAGGAATAACTGAATGCATGCTAAGAGTACAGTTATTAAAATTACTATTTATTTTTATAAAGTGAACAATAGATACATTTACTTCATTTGAACTGCCTCCTTTCAGGGCACCTGAGCAGCTCAGTCAGTTAAGCATCAGACTCTTGATTTTGGCTCCGGTCATGATCTCACGGTTTGTGAGCTCCAGCCCCCGCATCTGGCTCTGCGCTGACAGCCCAGAGCCTCCTTGGGATTCTCTGTCTTCCCTCCTCCCTCTCTCAAAATAAATAAACATAAAAAAAATTAATTTTCCTCCTTTAAAAAATGTATTTAGGTCAGGAATCAATACAAGCAATCCAGCTTTAATTCCCACTTAGAAATAATTCTAAAATAGTATTTACTAAGTCATAATTAAGTAAATGTTTCCTTTGCTTTCTTTGAGGTACGCTCATTAAAGGACTTTCACCCCAGCCAAATGAGGTCAGTGAAATTCAATTGCATGATAAAACTTTGTCACCATCTAGTGTCAGTAAGGAGCATTGCAGTCATGTTGCTTATTTTCTCTCTTCAGTAGCTTCCTTCTAGATCTATGTTAGTATTAACTAGCACTCCCAGTGGTACCAGTGACCCACTGATTCTGTAGAATTTTATTTATTTTTAAAAATGCTTATTTAATTAAAAACATTTTTTAATGTTTATTTATTTTTGAGAGAAGAGAGAGACAGAGCACGAGTGGGGGAGGGGCAGAGAGAGAGGGAGACACAGAATCTGAAGCAGGCTCCAGACTCTGAGTTGTCAGTACAGAGCCTGATGTGGGGCTTGAACCTACGAACTGTGAGATCATGACCTGATCCAAAGTCGGACACTCAACCGACTGAGCCACCTAGGTGCCCCAATGTTTATTTAATTTTGAGAGAGACAGAGAGAGAGAGAGAGAGAATGGGGAGGGGCAGAAGGAGGGAGGACACAGGATCTGAAGCAAGCTCTGAGCTGACAGCAGAGAGCTGGATGTGGGGCCTGAACCCACAAACCATGAGATCATGACCTGAGCCGAAGTTGGACACTTAACCAACTGAGCCACCCTGGTGCCCCTGTAGACTATTTTAGTAAGTGGATTTCAGAGTAACTCATTTCAGGTCATTTCTTACTTCCAAAGCATGGTTTATTTTATGCGAGTGTTCTCAGAGGACCATAAAAACTTTCATCCAAGTTAGAGACAGTGTGCTCACCCCTTAAAAATCCCTTTACTTTAGCTTCAGGATGACGAACATGGGAAAAATCTTCATGATATATATTAAATTATTATGAAATAGTTGAGGCTTTCAGAAGAACATAAAGTCAGTATATCAAACATTTATGCACTTGCTGTAATAGTTATCTACTGCTGTATAACAAATTGCCCCAGTGCAGCAGCTGAAACAGCAAACATTTATTATCTCACACAGTTTCTGAGGGTCAGGAGTCAGCGAGTGGCTCAGCTGGGTGGTTCTGGCTCAGCGTCTCTCTCCCTCGGGGCTGTTGGCAAGCCTAAGCTGGGCAGGCATCTCAAAGCCTAACCGGGGAGGGAAAGACAGCTTCTGAGCTCATGCCTGTTTGTCGGCAGGTTTCAGCTTCCTGCAGGCCGTCTGCCAGAGGCTCGGTTTCTGAAAGTGTGGGCCTCGTTATAGGACTGGCTTCCCCCAGAGCAAGAGAGGGGGAGGGAGCCGGAGGGAGAAAGAGAGGGCGGGAGGGAGAGAGGGGGAAGCTATAGTCTTTTTTAGAATCTAATTTCACAAGGAATGGTTTACTTCTACTGTACGTTATTGGTCACTCCTGAACCTGGTACCGTGTGGCAGGGGACTATAGATGGGGTGAAAAACAGGAGGCGGCCATCATTGGGACCATCTTGAAGGCTGGCTGAAACCCCCACCGTCTAGCTTTACTAAATAGTAACATTTTGCCCCATTTGTGTCACTACTACTAGCCCTGGGCTAAACTCAGGGAGCTACCAAAGAGAAAGAATGTTTTCTTCCCATGGGCTTTCCACCCCACTGCTGAATCTCCCTTCCTCCCTCTGTGACTGAGCTCTGCCAGATCCCAGAGCTCACATTTGGCTGTAGGAGATGTGAAAAAGCTCAGTCCAATCTCATACGCAGCTCGAATGCCATCTTTTTACCTCCTTATACTGCTGACTCTGTGAGGAAGGAGATCATGGTTGTTCTTTGAGGGTTTTTTTCTGACTTTTCTTGCTTCTTTTTTGCTTTCTAATTTGCTCTAGCATGGGGTCCAGCATGTGGGTTCAAGAGGAGCAAAAAATATCTTTGTATTTAGCTGATACTGTATATAGTCCTCCCTCGGTTAATGCTAGCTGATACTCATTCCCTCCATTAACCTAAACATCCAAGTACAGGTTCTTCAGGTGAGGATGTGGGTTATTTGGAGAACCCGTGAATGCTTCACACTCTTCAAGTATTCTCCAGTTGGCTTCTTGAAATCCACACTCGGCCTTTGCTCTCTTTGAGGCTTCACCCTACGCTGCCTCTTGCCTCTTCCCGCCGGGGACCCTGGCCTCAGGAAGCAGTGTTCTTGGGTGGCAGGGTCTCTTCAGGATGGCTTATGCCTGCTCCCTGCAGGTCCTTTTGGTCAACAGGAAAACATCATGTGTCTTTTTCCTGCCAAATGCCTTCCCGTCCAGTCGGCCCTCCCTCTCCACCCTGTAACCGCACTGCTCCAGCCAGTCTTCTGCGTTTGGAATTCTCCAGATGGGCGCAAGAGCCCAGGTGCAGATGCCGACAAATGCTTGCAGATGCTGGTTGGCTTTCCTTAGAACTCTCTCTGCTTTCCTCTTTGGTCTCCAAGCAGCACCAGCACCTGCGATGTGAGGGCTCTGTAAACATCCAGCCAGAAGGTGAGACGCCGATTTACTCCCTTATAGGCACTCCTGGTCCCTGTGACTGGTTTACGTGGAGCCTTTCTCTTGGCCTGGGCGTGAGTGAGAAGCACCTGATTATGGGAGGGGGAAAAAAAAACAAGAAATCCCATTCAATGAATGTATGGCCTTCTCGTAAAATGGCTGGAGATAACGGACAGGGACTGATATTTAAAGGACCAGCTTGGTCAATTTCTATAAAATTCTGCAGAAATGTGTCTAGCAAGTCTCTGGCTTCAGGGCCTCATTTGAATTTCAAAGATAAAGAGAACCCCCCCCTTTTTAACATAATAAATTTGGCTCAGATTAAAACATGTGGAAATGTACAGATTTAGTTGAAATCCCCTGTGTACTTGTCCTCAATTCCACTCCCCTCCTTGCCTGCCTAGAGGGTGTTTGTCAATAGCATATATACTTACTACATGCCCTAGTGCCTTTGGGCCGCTATGACGGAACAGCACGGAACAGCACGGGGCGGGGGAGAGGGGCGGTTTATAAACAATAGAAATTTATTACTCACAGTTCTGGAGGCAGAAAGTCTGAGAACAGAGTGCCAGCCTGGTCATGTGAGGGCCCTGGTCCACGTCACAGACTTCTCATTGTATCCACACGTGGTGGAAAGGGACAAAGGAGCCCTCTTGAGCCTCTTTCATAAAGGCATTAATTCTCATTCATGAAGGCTCTGCCCTCAGGAACTAATTACCTCCCAAAGGAGCTTTTTTTCTTTTCCCCTTAAAGTTTATTTATTTATTTATTTTGAGAGAGAGAGGGAGAGCGCATCCATGCACCAGAGAGAGACAGAGAGAGAGAGAGAGACAGAGAGAGACAGAGCGCTTGCATGCAGGAGCAGGGGAGAGAGGGAGACAGAGAATCCCAAGCAGGTTCCCTGTTGTCAGTGCGGAGCCTGGAGCCAGAGCCTGGAGACTGTTGTGGGTCTGGATCTCAGGAACCATGACATCACCACCTGAGCTGAAATCAAGAGTCGGCTGCTTAACAGACTGAGCCACCCAGGTGCCCTGAGATGATTTTTAAAATTTTCTTTTCTTTCTTTTTCTTTTTTGCTATTGCAGATGACAGAACAATCATCATCCTGGTACTTGTCTAGTTATATATTATAGAACATATATATACCAAAAAGAAGTATAGAGGAATTGCTAGCTTGAAGGATATGCTAATTTACATATCTCCTAGACGTCAGATTGCTCACTCATGTTATTTTCCGCCACCGCCAGCAAATTCAAATCCTCAGCAACATTTGGTATCGTTGGATTAAATAATTTTTGCCAATTATCTTGTTTTAAATTGTATATTGTACTTTAAAAAATGTTTACTTTTTATTTTGAGAGGAGAAGTGAGGGTGAGTGGGGAGGGATAGAGATGCAGGGAGAGAGAATCCCAAGCAGGCTTCATGCTGTCAGTGCAGAGCCTGATGGGGATGGGGGGCTCAATGTCACAAACGGTGAGATCATGACCTGAGCTGAAATCAAGAGTTGGATGCTTAACTGACTGAGCCACCTAGATCCCCCTAAATTGTATACTGTACTATTTTGGCTGTTAGTATTTTTGAGCATCTTTTCATATATTCTTTACTCTGGTCTTCCTTTATATCTTTTGGGATAGATCATCACAAGGCCATGAGAAAACCTCTCTGCCTTGTGATGAAGTCCTTATGTTAATTTGAAATTCTCAGGTTCTATGCATAGCTAGAAATTATAAATATAGAATTCAGACATTAGGAATGCATATGGGGGAGTTTTTTGAATTAAAATTTATTTTTCTTTTTTTATTTTAGAGAGAGAGAGTGCAAGCATGGGGGGGGGGAGAGAGAGAGAGAGAGAGAGAGAGAGAGAGAGAATGTTGAACATGCTCCACACTCAGCGTGGACTCCGACGCTGGGCTTCATTCCACAACCCTGGGATCTGAGCTGAGCTTAAATCAAGAGTTGGACGCTCAACCAACTGAGCCACCCAGGAGCCCCTGGAATTATTTCTAACATCTTATTTTGTGTTTTCTGTGTATTACCTCTTTTATAGCTTCTTTCCCCTTCTTTCCTCAACTACAATGTCTGGCACTTGGTAAGAACTCTATGTGTTTGCTATTGTTATTATTACATTGAATTGATAAAGCTTTTTATATTCCTCTTTTTTTCCCTCTTTGATGTTTCATAAACTACAGATTTTGTTTCTAATTTAGTACCAATACTTAATTTAAAAACATAGATTTAATTATCTCTTTCTCTAAATAGATACAGTTATTCACTAGTTCTGTTTCCCTCCCAAATATTTACCACATTTTGACCACACATTATTCACCCTCACTCCCATCTTGTTATGGTTGTGCTCTATTTGTTCTTTTGTTGTTTTTGTTCTTTTTTAACATATAAATGAGATATTATTATTTGTCATACTCATTAATTAAAATTACCAACACATTTTGTCATTTTTTTCCACTTTTGCTTTTTCTTAATTCTATACTTCCTTCTTCTTCACTTTTATTCTTACTGAAATGTATTCTCTGATTATTGTCTTCATGAGATTCTGTGGATATTAAACCGTTAGTGTCTTCTTTTCTCTTTTAACAACTGATAATCAGGGGCACCTGGGTGGCTCAGTCAGTTAAGCATCCAACTTTGGCTCAGGTCATGATTTTGTGGTCTGTGAGTTCGAGCCACGTGTCAGGTTCTCTGCTGTCAGCCTGAAGCCTGCTTTGGATTTTGTGTCTTTCCTCTCTCTCTGCCCCTCCCCTCTTGTGCTCTTTCTCTCAAAAATAAATAAACATTAAAAAAAATGAAGAGCGGATAATCAATTTTGTAAAAAAGGTTGATTTAAACATCAGCAGTGATGACTTCATCCTCAACTCCTGAATCAATACTGGTGGAAGTAATGTGCTTACCAATCTTAGAAGGACTTTGTAAATCAATGAGCTGCTTGTGAATCCTCACCTGAAAATGACCCATGTCTTAGAACCTTCGCCATGACGAATTTTTCTTGTAGTGATTCTTGGAGTCTTGGTGGGCATCTGGACTGTTCCTTTTACTTTAAGATTCTTTCTCTTTGTGCCTCTGATCAAATCCGCAGGCACCACCTCCAAACATTTTACAGTTTGGCTGGTTAGAGTAATTCTAACTCACCACCTCCGGTTGGTTCCTTGAGTGTCCTTCTCTATCTTTTAAAAGCCATGGCTTTGGGGCTTCCTGACCCACCTGTTTCTCTGCAAGAGTAAACACCAAGGAGTCAGGAGCTGCAGGAGGAGCCTCTGGGCAGAACTAGCTCCATTTCATCTGGACCAATCTTCCTCAAAGAGCTAAGTGGTGTTTTTTGTTTTTTTTTTTTTTAAACAAGAGAGATTTTTTGTTGTTGTTGAGAGAGAGAGGGTGCGAGTGAGCAAAGGGCAGAGAGAGAGAGAGAGAGGGAGGGAGAGAGAGAATCCCACATTGACAGCGTGAAGCCTCAAGCTGGGCTCCAGAGAAGGGGGGCTCGAGCTCCCCTCATGCAGGGCTCGAACTCACTAATGGTGAGATCATGACCTGACCCAAAGTTGGATGTTTAACTGACTGAACCACCTGGCACCCTCAAGCTTAGTGTTCTTCTAAAACTCTTTACTTTGCTCTTATTCTTATGTGATATATTGGCTGGGTATACATTTCTAGGGCAATGCTTATTGCTGATGAGAAATCTACCGTCAGTCTAATTATCATTCCTTTATGGAAAATGTGTCTGCTCTTCTGAATCTTTTAATATGTTTTTCTTTATCCTTGATGGCTTGTAAATTATAATATGTCTAGGCATGGCTTTATTTTTTATATCTCCTGGTTGATAATTTGGATCGAAGTTATGCTCCGATGACTGATACCCTTTTGCAAGTTTGGAAAAATTTCAATTATTATCTATTTAAATATTGCTTCTCTTAAGTTACCTTCAGTTTGTCTTTGTGAAGTAGGCATCATTGCATACATCAAAGTTCTTCAGTTTGTCCCTCACTTCTTTCTCTTTCTCTTTTGAAAAAATTTTTATTTATTTTGAGAGAGAAAAAGAGAGAGACTATGAATGGGAGAGGGGCAGAGAGAGAGAGAAAGAGAGAGAATCCCAAGCAGGCTGTGTGTCATCAGTGCAGAGCTGGACTCAGGGCTTGAACTTATGAACTGTGAGATCACCACCTGAGCTGAAATCAAGAGTTGGAAGCTTAACTGACTGAGCCACCCAGGCACCACCCCACCCCTGCTCTCTTTTTTAAAGCAATCTCTACACTGAATGTGGTGCTCCAACTCACAACCCTGAGATCAAGAGTCAGATACTCTACCGACTGAACCAGCCAGGTGCCTAAATCCTCATTTCTCTTAGCTACTTTTTTTTTTTTTTAAATGTCTTTATTTATTTTTGGGAGAGAGAGAGAGAGAGAGAGTGTGAACAGGTGAGGGGCAGAGAGAGGAGGTAGAGGATCCGAAGTGGGCTCTGTGCTGACAGCAGAGAGCCAGATATGGAGCTGGAACTCACGAACTGTGAGATCATGACCTGAGCCGAAGTGGGATGCTTATAGGCAGCCCTCTTAACTACTTTTTCATCATTCATATTTTTATGCCTGTATCTCTGTATTGTGTTCTGGATAAGTTTTTTACTACTCTCTCCTAATTCACTAATTTTCTTGTTTTGTGTGTCTGGGCTGGAATTTTCCTGGTTATTGAATTCCTAAATTCAGTGACTCCATTTTTGCTTCTAAGATTGAAAATTCATTCTTTCTCATATAGCTTTTTCTTATTTTTTTGTTTGCTTCACAAATTCTTGCTTTACAAAGATGAAACACTCTTCACTTAAGTTAATAAATATACTTATTTTCAAATTTTGTCAGATTCTTTCAAAAAATTAATTTTTTTGGAATCCATTTACAGTTGGAACGTTGAAGTTTTGGCTGACTTTCTTAGCATCAGATACTAGTTCTCATGGTTCTGGAATTTTTGTTTATAGGTACATTTTGAGGTATGTGTACATTTCTGAATAAAACATCTATTTTCTGTCTACTTTCATGAGGATTGGATAGGGGTCTACAATTTACAGAGGAAGGATTTTTTTTATAAGCCAATTATTAATTATTATTATAATAAGTTTCATTATAAGTTTCTTTCTGTCTTTCTTTCTTTCTTTCTTTCTTTCTTTCTTTCTTTCTCTCTTTCTTTCCTTCTTTCTTTTGAGGGAGGGGAGGGGCAGAGGAAGAGGGTCAGAGACCATCTTGAGCAGGCTCTATGCCCAGCATAGAGTCCAAGGTTGGCCTCAGTTCCATGACTGTAGGATCATGACCTGAGCCAAAATCAAGAGTTGGATACTCAACCAACTGAGTCACTCAGGTGCCCCTCATTATAAGCTTTAATCAAGCTCCATTCATAATTCCCTTTTGTTACCCTTTCATCATTCGTAGTTTTGTTTTGATGGCTCAAGCTTGTTGATGCCCATGTAAGTGAGCTGTGACCATTTTGGGGCCTGAATGTTAAACGTGAAATTTGTAAGGGGAGGGGAGACATAATTCAGTACATAACAACATGTCTTCAATAAATATTTGTTAAATTAACATCATTTCTTTCCATAGGTCCCTCTACTTCTGATGGCTGTTTTCCTTTAACGTAGAGTTGATCTTTTAAGTTTTCTTGTATTCATATGAATTTGATATTTTCTTTTCTCTTGTGGATCCCTTCTGAAGAAATTAATATCCCTGGTCTTCTAGGTACTTGCCTGTATTTTATAAGTTTGGATATATACAACACACCTTCCAGAACGGCCGAAATGAAAAGATAGAAACGCCAAGTGGTGGCAAGGGTGTGGGACAGCAGGTGTGCTCATACGTTGTTGGTAGAAGGGTAAATTGGTGCAACCATTTGGCAAGCTCATCAAAGTTAAACATACACCGACCCTATGACCCAGGAGTAGACATGTACCCCTAGGTGTTTATCCAGCAGAAATACCCCCGTATGTTCACCAAAGGACACACAAAAATGTTTAGAGTTACACTGTTCATAATAGTTACATGTAGAAATTACCTTAAATGCCCATCAAAAATAAATGAATAATGGGGCACCTGGGTGGCTCAGTCAGTAAGTGTCTGACTCTTGATTTCTGCTCAGGTCATGATTTCATGGTTTGTGAGATCAAGCCCTGCGTTGGGCTCCGCGCTGACAGTGTGGAGCCTTCTTGGGATTCCCTCTCTCTCCCTCTCTCTCTGCCCCTCCCCAATCACACGCACTTGTACACACGTGCTCTCTCTCTCAAAATTAACTTTAAAAATAAAATGGAATAATGAATAAGGAAACCCACCTGCTAGACATGACTCTCAGAGAGGCCCTGTGTATCCCATGAGCACAGGGGGCAAGGGGTCTATCTCAAACAACCTTTCCCTATAGGCGTGAGTAGTGCAGGGGTATAACCCTTAACTCCAGGAAGATGACCTTCTGGGCTGGAGCGTGCCCTAGACACACAGGTCAAGAAGGTCCAAGAGGCCCGAGGGCAGGAAGTGCTCTGTGATAACTGCATGCATGGGTCCCTCAGGGGGGAAATAAAAAGATGAATAAATCAGTATTGTAGTCACCCGATCAAATCTTATGTAGCGATGAAAAGGAATGATCTACATTTACACACAACCACATAAATACATCTTCTAAAGGTAATGGTAGGGGCGCCTGGCTACGTCAGTGGAGTGACTCTTGATCTCAGGGTGGTGAGTTCTAGCCCCACATTGGGGGTGGAGAGTCCAGAGAAATAAATCAATAAAAGTAATGGTAAATGAAACAGTGGTGTACCGGTACAAGTGGTGGTGGACGTAGTTCACTCCCGGTGTAGACAATAAGGGTGTGCATTGTCTGTAGAGAATTTAAAAACAATAATAACACTAAAAATCTGTTTTTCTTTTTCATTGTCAGCATGTGTTATCAGTGATACTACACTCTTTCCAGTGGGGGGAGACCATCTTTTCCCCCACCCGCCTCCCCATCACTGCAGTGAAGGAAGCCTGCCGCAAAAGAGAGTATCCTGCGTGATTCCATGTACGTAAAGTACAAAACCAGGAAAAACTTATCTATGCTGTTGGCAGCCAGGATACTTTTTTAATCCTTTGGGGTGGTGGATGGAATGGAGCACACAGAGGGATGCTAGGGGCTGGAAATGTCCTGGAAATTAGTTACAAGAGTGTTGTTCAGTTTGGGAAAACTCACTGAGCTGTACTCTTATGGTCTGTGCATTTCTCCATATATTACTCTGATAGAAAATTGTTTTTTGTTTTTAAAAGCTACAACATGTTTTTTTTAAAAGATTACATGTACATAAGAATTATCATTTTGCCTAGGAATGTATATCTGGCTTGATCTGGGGAGGCAATCTTTCTGTCTGCTTTGACAGAAACTTCAATCAGGATCACTCAACAGCCTAAAATGGATACTTTTAGAATCAACTCCTAAAAACTCAGCACAGACATTCATTAAGGGCCTGCCACATGGGAGAGGTAGGGAGCTCCATGCTCTGATGATAAGATACAGAAGCTGCTTCTTTTGCTGAGCCGAGAGGAAAAACTGGCTTATAAAGCAGTTGAACTGCTTGGGACTTAATCATATGAAACTAGACACTTACCTTTCAACAAAGATGGCAGATAACCTGGAACATCTCTCCTTTGCTATTTCTGTGGAGTGTGAATTTTTTTTGAGGTCACTAACCTTGAGGAAGATGGGCAGTGTGGGACCTGGGAAGAAGGAGAAAGGGTGGGTGGAATAGACAGATGCCAAAAAAAGAAGCGGAGGAAAAGGCAAGAGAGGGGAGAGAAGACATTGCTTCTTCTATCTGCATCAACTAGGGTAGATGAAGAGATTAAATGGATCCAAACTGTCACTCACTATCACTGAATAACAGAAAGAACATCTTTTTGCTCCAATAAAAAGTAGGAAGGATGGCATCTTAGGATAAAGGAGTTCTTCTTTAAATTGAGTAAGTTTAGGGGCACCTGGGCGGCTCAGTAGGTTAAGCGTCCGACTTCAGCTCAGGTCATGATCTCACACTCTGTGAGTTTGAGCCCTGCGTCAGGCTCTGTGCTGACAGCTCAGAGCCTGGAGCCTGCTTCGGATTCTGTGTCTCCCTCTCTCTCTGCCCCTCCCCTGCTAATGCTCTGTCTCTCTCTGTCTCAAAAAAACAAACAAACAAAAAAAAAAACAAAAAACCAGACATTAAACAATTTTAAATTGAGTAAGTTTAACTTTATGAAAAATCTACTTTTTTATACTTATTTTTTATATTCTTCTGTGAACTGGTAAAATTTCATCTCTGTCTGCTGTTAGACAGGGACCTCTGCTCTGACCCAGAGGTTGTCCAATTTATTCCTTAAAGGACGAGACAATAAATACCTTATGTTTTGGGGCCAGATTCTCTGTTGCTGCTACTCTACTCTGCCATTTACCTGGGACGATATGTTAATGAATGGATGTGTCAATGTGCCATAAAGCTTTTGGACACTAAGAGTTTTGGATACTAAAATTTGAATTTTGTGATTTCTTGGGTATAAAATATGATTCTCATTTTGATTTTCTCCCTCCACCTCAACCATTAAAAAAGACAAAAGCCATGGGGCACCTGGGTGGCTTGGTTAAGTGTCTGACTCTTGATATCTGATCAGGTCATGATCTCACGATTTGTGAGTTTGAGTACCGAGTTGGGCTCTGCCCTGCCAGCATGGAGCCTGCTTGGGATTCTCTCTCTTTCTCTCTCTCTCCCTCTGCCCCTCCCCACTCATGCATTGTCTCTCTCAAAATAAATAAGTAAACTTTAAAAAAAACCCAACACCTTAGTGTAGCTTAGTAGCTTGCAAAACTAAGCTACACTGGAACAGGTGGTAGGCTGGATTGTCCTGTAGGCCAAAGTTCCACTCTGGGGCTTTCTTCTGACATTTCCACCGTTATGCAAGCTGTTTCTGCTACGTGCCTTGCTCTCCTGGCCCTCTCTCACTCTTCTGACCCTTCTTCAATAGCTCTCCTACTCTCATCCCCTGTATTCAGTTCTGCCCAAATATTCTTGGTAGATTTCCTTTACAGGTTCACTCACAGTGGCTCTGCCATTTGTTAGTTGGAGGACCTTGGGCAAATTATTTAATATCTCTACACGTCAGGTCTCTTACCTGTTAGGTGGAGACAAATATTGAAAGTAATAAAAGGGGCGCCTGGGTGGCGCAGTCGGTTAAGCGTCCGACTTCAGCCAGGTCACGATCTTGCAGTCCAGGAGTTCGAGCCCCGCGTCGGGCTCTGGGCTGATGGCTCAGAGCCTGGAGCCTGTTTCCGATTCTGTGTGTCTCCCTCTCTCTCTGCCCCTCCCCCGTTCATGCTCTGTCTCTCTCTGTCCCAAAAATAAATAAACGTTGAAAAAAAAAAATAAAAAAAAAAGAAAGTAATAAAAAAAAGCTAAGTTTAGGAAAATTAAACATTTCTATAAAGAGGGGCGCCTGGGTGGCGCAGTCGGTTAAGCGTCCGACTTCAGCCAGGTCACGATCTCTCGGTCCGTGAGTTCGAGCCCTGCGTCGGGCTCTGGGCTGATGGCTCAGAGCCTGGAGACTGTTTCCGATTCTGTGTCTCCCTCTCTCTCTGCCCCTCCCCCGTTCATGCTCTGTCTCTGTCCCAAAAGTAAATAAACGTTGAAAAAAAAAATTTCTATAAAGAGTTATATGGAAGGTAGGAATGACAGCAGCAGCCCAGGCCGTACCTACTGCTGGAAACTATAGGGCAGGCTTGTGTGGCATTCCCAGGCTCTCAGTTTGGTGTCTTCAAACTCCCGTTCTTTTTTTTTTTTATTAAAAAAAAATTTTTTTTTTAACGTGTATTTATTTTTGAGACACAGAGAGACAGAGCATGAACAGGGGAGGGGCAGAGAGAGAGGGAGACACAGAATCGGAAACAGGCTCCAGGCTCTGAGCCATCAGCCCAGAGCCTGACGCGGGGCACGAACTCACGACCGCGAGATCGTGACCTGAGCTGGAGTCGGACGCTTAACGGACTGAGCCACCCAGGCGCCCCTCAAACTCCCGTGCTTTAAGTATTTGTTCAGATCCCTTCATTTGGGAAAACCTTAAGCACTCTGTGGGGGGGGGGGGGGGGAGACAGCGCCCCTCAGCCTCTTCCCTGTTATCAAGAGCACTTCCATGCTAGCCCAAAACTTGCTCACCTTCCAGAAGTCACACTCGGAGGCTAACTAGACCCCACGTTTCTTAACAGGCAACTTAGCTACTATCTTTCCACACTGTGGGATCTCACTGTCCCCAAGTTACTTATTAATGTATCCCCTCCAACCACATGCCACCCTTCACAGAGAGAATTTGGGTAAGTCCAGAATTCTCTATCTGGTTACATTTCCTGTGATATCGTGATGCTTGTTTGCCTCTTAACCCAGCTTGGAGTGCAGCAGTCAGGTGATTAGTGGGTTCTGGCTAACGGAGGATAGAGACCTTGGCTCCCTGGGGAGGGGGGATACAGGGCATGTGTCTCAGATTTAGTCCTCTGGTCTGGTGTTGCGAGAGGTGGGGTTTCAGAAGATATTGAGATTTCAATATCTCTGTGAGATATTGGGATAAGCTGCCATTTGGGTGGTAAAGAGGGGCACTGGACTGGGTGAGAAAGGCATGCTCTGCACCCGTGCAGTAGTTCTGTGCCAGAGAGCTCGGAGGGCTGGCACGAATGTGCCACTCTGCCTGCAGGGAGGGGACGGGCAGGGGGCTTCAGGGGTGTGGCAAGGTGCCTTTGTGCAACTTTGCAGGTGAAGACAGTCTGGATGATAACCGTCACCCAGGAGCATGTCCACTGGAAATGCAACTTGGTAGGGGATGCCCCAAAACCACTGGCACGTAGAGGGTGTGGCTGTTAGGAACATGGGCTTTGGCGTCAGCTGCTCTACCACTTACTAATAACCTTGGCCTGTTATTCATTTAGAAGTAGAGATGATAATACCTACCACAGAGGATTGTTGGCCAGATTAAGATAATATGCGTAAAGCACATGGTAATATTGAAATACCAGAGTCAGGGGTCAGCAACATAGGAGATATTCCTGGCAATGTGACCCCATTTGAATCCATCACACATGGTCTGGCATTCAGACACACGAGTCACATATGCTTCCATGTGCCTTGGGTGGCCGTGAGATTAAGTAAATTTTTTCCTATTTCAAAAAACCACATCCTTTTAGTAGAAAACTACAGCAAACACCGCGCAATATGGAAAAGGACCACTTATTTATGATCACTACATGTCAAAAACCATCTGGACCATTTTCTTGTAGCAGATGTTTGCCAAATTAACTTTGGAAACAGAAAATTCATGTAGGGTATTTCTCTCAGCACAATGAACGCAACTAGGGCAGATACAGATACATTTTTCAAAACAATATTAAGCCATATTACGGTCAGGTAAAAAACCATGGTGACTGCACACATTAGAATTTGCAGAGTGCTCAGGAAATGTCAATAAACTATCTCTTAATTTAGAAGAAATTCATTTAGAAATGATCTGAAATTCAGAACAGCTTTAAAAACTTGGCCATGAAGACTTAAAAACATTTAATTTATGTGGTTCATGGTAATGGTAATTATAATGCGAAATATTATTTGGTTTTCCTCTCTTCCAGGCACAGACCTCCTAAAAGCTGTTGGAATTTCCTGTGATGGAAGGAATAAAGGTGTCTTCTGTTACATTAATGAGGTGACCTTTGGAAAACCTGGAAGGACTGAGGCCGTGGTCAGAGGAGCCTACCCAGTGGTGGAGGGTTGGAGGCTTCAGCCTCCAGCCAGGGCCCCTCCCCACCAGGGGAGTGGGGCTAGAGATTGAGTTCAATGCCCAATAGTCAATGATTTAATTAGTGGTGCCTACAGAATGAAGCCTCCGTAAGAACCCAAAAGGATGGGGGTTTGGAGAGCTTTTGGTTTGGTGAACATACAGACAGTGGTGTGCTTGGAGACAGCATGCAAGCTCTGCATCCTTTTCGCACACCTTGCCTTATGCACCTTCTTCATCTGGCTATTCCTGAATCATATGCTTTTATAATAAATCAGTCATCTAGTAAGTAGAATGCTTCTCTGAGTTCCATAAGCCACTCTAGCAAATTAAGCCCAAGGGAGGGGGTCATTAGAATGTCCAGTCTATAGGCAGTTCATTCAAAGCACAGGTGACAACCTAGACTTGCAACTGGCATCTGAAGTCAGGGAGGAGGCCTGAACCTGTGGGATCTGATGCTCTCTCCGGGTAGGTAGTGTCAGAATGGAGTTGAATTGTAGGACACCTAGCTGGTGTTTGAAGAACTGGCTGGTGTGAGCGGAAGAGACCCACACGATGGAATGCGGTGAAGAATCTTATTAAGAAATAGTTACCTGCTGCTGGTTCTTAAGAAGTGTCTCTTTCATTCACAAACATACTATGCTGGGATCTAAGAATAAAAAGTCTATTAAGAATTAGCCTTGGGGCACCTGGGTAGCTCATTTGGTTAAGGGTAGGACTCTTGACTTCGGCTCAGGTCATGACCTCGCGGTTCATGAGTTTGAGCCCCACATCGGGCTCTGTGCTGGCAGTGCGGAGCCTGCTTGAGATTCTGTCTCCCTCTCTCTCTGCCCCTCCCCTGCTTGCTCTCTATCTCTGTCTCAAAAATAAATAAATAAACAAACAAACAAACTTAAAAAAAAAAGAATTAGCTTTTACCTTCAGAGATCTTTTAGTCTAATTAGAAAGCAGGTGAAACAACACATTCAGTGTGGTTAAAGGGCTTAGATTCAGGTGTACCTTGGAGCCTATGGAGGTCCAAAAGATAGCCATAAAAATCAGACTCATGGATCAGGGAGCATTTCTTGAAGGGGGTGAAACTTGAGAGATGAGGGAAAGTTTGCAAAGCAAAAAGTAGTCAGGATAGGGTGGGACATCATTAGTGACTTGTCTTCATTGTAAGCAATGCAGGACAGTAAGATAATAATGACTATAATATCCAATAGCTTTCAAAATGTCTATCTCTAATATTTTCAACAAGCTTGTATTAGCTTGAGATTTAATACAACCTAAAATCCAATATTTGCCTTCTGTAGAGTCATAGAATGATAGAACATGAAAGGATAGTTAGTAATACTTCAGTCCATTTCCAATATTAACAACCTCTTTTTAAAATTCTAAAGTAATTCATGCTTTCATAGAGCATGTAGATAAGCAAGAGAAGAGAAAAATTCCTGTTTAATCCTACTTCTAGGCTGTCATGAATATCTTATAGCTAAAATCTTGAAAATGCCCATGATTGTTTCCTTGAAGTAAATTTAGGATTAAGTCCAATGAGAATTGCAAATTAAAAAAAATTCCCATTTTTGGGCCTTTCACTGATGTTAACAGATATAGAAAGATTGTATTTATGTTTGGAGTCTGAGTCTGGAGTAGGCAGTGAGTTTTTACTGCTATTCACCATTACTAACTGTGAGATCATGGCACATTAGGGATTTTTCTAAACTTCAGCTTCTTTGTTGGCCACTGGGGAACCGCAGCCAAAGCCGGGTGATTAAGGGGCATCCTTTGTGCTGTGGCCACAAACACCAGGACACCAGAAGTAAAATGGGAGTGCCAGATATCTGTAAATATACCCTTGGGGACAGGCTGGTGCTCTGGGTCTCCAAGATGGCACCTGCTGGCTGAAGAGAGGCAGAGGGCTGGAGGTAGGCAGAGGATGCCAGCTAGAGATTGCCCCGCCAATCTCCCACCACAGTGAGCGCAGTGGCAAACCCTCGAATGTGTGTCCAATCAGGTTCCTGGCCTCAGGCGGAAGGTCCAAGGCAAGCAAATGAGCCTCTCCCACACAAGGTCTGGCAACCCTCAGTCACCTTCAGCGCTGGGCCCTTGGCAAGAGAGTCCTGCCTTCAAGACGTGTCTCTGTGCCTCACGGCTTGTGGGTCTGTGGACAGGAGCCTTGTTGGTTTTCAAAGCTATGTATTTCAGGTCTCCTCTCTCAGGTGCAGGTCTTAAAAGTGGGGGTGCCTGGTATGGGGTTCAACCTGTTGGCTTCTTGGAGAAAAGCTCTAGTTTTGAGTTCCCTCCTGACTGTGGTTTGCTGGGCCTAGGATGCGGTCTATGGTGAGATTGTGTCCCAGCCTTTCCTGCCTGCTTGGATGCAGAGTGGTTGCTCAGACATGTTTAGGTTTTTAGGTGTTTTTTTTCCCCCCCAGAGGAAATTCATCCTTATGCAGATGTAGATTTGGTGTGTTTGTGGGAGGAGATGAGTTCTGGATCCTGTTACATTGCCATTTTGAACCGCAACCAGATTTTAAAAATGCTATTACTTAATCATGTGTGTGTGTGTGTGTGTGTGTGTGTGTGTGTGTATTATATATATATAGTATATATTGCATATATACTATATATATGTATATAAATGTTTGTTTATGTATTTATTTATTTGAGTGTGAGTATGGGAGGGGCAGAGATCGAGGTAGAGAGAGAGAAAATCCCAAGTAGGCTCCATGCTATCAGCACAGAGCCTGACACAGGGCTCAATCCCAGGAACTGTGAGATCATGGCCTGAGCCAAAATCAAGAACCGGATGCTCAGCCATCTGAGCCATGCACGTGCCCCAACTTAATCCTATTTTTAAAGTCTAAAGGAAATCACCATTTCTATCTTCCTCTTGGACAAACCCAGTGTTTTTAGAATGCTTTAACTTCCTTCAAATATTCCTCCCATTGTCCGTCTTTGAGCAGCTTTTCCATCTTCTGTGCTATTTTTATCTAGCATTTTACTTCCATTTTGTTTTTCAGTGCAGAAAAGTCATCATTATTTGTTAAAAAAAAAAACTTTATTTATTTTTTAGAGCAGTTTTAGTTTCACAGCACAATCGAGCAGAAAGTGCTGAGAGTTCCCATATACTCCTCGCCCCCATCCTCGTTATTTTTATAGTCAATTCTTATTTGAATTTACCAGCCTGTGTTGTGAATTTTTGTTTCCCCCTGCTCTATGCATCTTCTACCTTCCTTCTGGGTTTATTTTTACTCATGCGAAGTGAACCTTATTAAGATTTCCAGAAATTACAAATAAACATTTATAGTTTTTCAGGTATGAAAACTTCTACTTGGGTCTGTGGAATGATTTGGTCACTAGAATTTTCATTTTTTTTTTTTCATATTTTTCGTGAGTGAGCTCATGTTCATGGGCATTGTCTCTTTTGAGAGTCCCATACATGGGATAGGAGGTCTCCCATGGGGTGGGTTTTTTTTTTTTTTTTTTGTTTGTTTGTTTGCCTCTGTTGACAGTACTCATGAGTCCTGAACTGGTTTTGTTTTAAATAATTTTAGATTTGGAGAAGAGTTGCAAAGATAGTACGAGAAGTTCCCATATACCCTTCACCCAGCTTCCCCTATTACTGCAGCCCTTAGCCAGGCCTTTAGCAATTGGTTCAAAATTTCTAGCTAAGTTCTTCCTAATGGCTTATATGGTGTCTGAAAAGTCTATCCCAGCTGAGCAAAGGTCTGGGTCCTATATCTCCCTGTGGATGCCCATCTTTCTTGAGATTTGGGGTCAGATCTGTGAACTCAGTTTCTGAAGGATTTGTGAAAGCTGGTTTGTCCAGCTTTTTTTTTTTTTTTTAATGTTTATTTATTTATTTTGAGAGAGAGAGGGATAGAGAGCAAGCAGGGGAGGGGCAGAGAGAGAGAGAGAGAGGTAGGGAGAGAGAATCCCAAGCAGGTTTCATGCTATCAGCATAGAGCCCAACACGGGGCTTGATCCCCAAACCATGAGGTTCATGACCTGAGCTGAAACCAAGAATCAGATGGTTAACTGAGCCTCCCAGGTGCCCCAAGTTCTGCTTGTTTCTTATTATAAATGGAGGAGTGATGCTTTCCCACTGATTTTATCTCCAAGTGGGACCAATTTGGGGGTTAGTTTCTTCTCCCAGATTTCTGCACTGCTCAGGTGGTGCAGATTAAAATTTTTTTTTAATGTTTATTTATTTTTGAGAGAAAGAGAGACAGAGTGTAAGCTGGGAAAGGGGCAGAGAGAGGGAGACACAAAAGCTCAGAGCCTGACGCAGGGCTCAAACTCACGAGCTGTAAGATCATGACCTGAGCGAAGTCGGATGCTCAACCAACTGAGCCACCCAGGTGCCCCAGGTGGTGCAGATTTTAAAGCTGCACTTGCAGCCAGCCCAGCTTCAGTGCCACTGGGGCAGGTGGCTCTGTTGGTTGCAATCCTGGGTTAGTGAGCAGAGATTCTTCCCTGACAGGTAGAGGGGTTTTGTTAATTTGTTTCTTTTTGTTTTTCCCCATTGTTGGTTCTCTCTTGTAGAGAACTGTGATTATTAAGGACTCCAGGGTGATTCCCCTGAAGATGGAAATGATATAAAAAGAATACCTTTTCTTTATTTAGTATTTCTGTCTTGTAAATTATACTGACTGCCTGTGCACCACTTATGGACTTACCAAATAATCTGTTCTGTATGTGAATTTCAACTATTCTCCTTCCTTTTCTTTTGTGTCTATTAGATTGGAAGCACTCTGAAGAAGGAGGACCTGATTTCTATTTTTGTGTGCCATGTACTCGTTCAGTGTGTATTTCCTGATCCCCCACTGGGTGCCAGGAGCTGTGCTAGGAGATGCGTGTCCTCTGGGGAGCAAGCAGAAAAGTTTTCTACTCCTTAGTATTGTGGGGAGTCAGATAGCAAATAAACACAGAATAAATATATAATTACCTAGTAGGATAAAGAAAAGTATCTGGTTCTCTGAGACCTAATTTATATTGGGAGTTCAGAAGGACTTTTCTTAGGAGGTGACTTTTACATTGAGACTTGATAGCTAAATGAGAGTTAGGTGAGGAATCAGAGGGAACAGCAGAACACGGAACAGCCTATGCCGAAATCTTTTGGTGGCAAAGAGTGTGGGGCATTTACAGACCTGAGTGAAGGTTGGTGAGGTTCGAGTATGCTGAATGCGGTGGAGAGTGGAAAGAAATGAACCTGGAGGAGTGCTCAGAGGCCGGAAGATATGAGGTCTTGGGGGAGTTAATATGTCACTTTAGTCTCAGCAGCTGCAGAAGTGCTTTGATTTAGTCTGCATTTATGTACGTGTATAGGCTCCACACCCAGCACGGAGCCCAGTGTGGGGCTTGAACTCGTGACGGTGAGATCAAGACCTGAGCTGAGATCAAGAGTCGGATGCTTAACCCACTAAGCCACCCAGGTGCCCCTGGTTTGCATTTTACAACATTACTCTGGGTGCTGGGTGGGGGACTGATTGTAAGGGAGAGAAGATGGATAAGCAGGTCATGTGGGTAGTCCAGGCAAGAGATGACAGCGGCCTAACGAGGGTGGTAGCCATGGGGATGGCGGGAAGAAGCGTGACGCGAGGGACAGTCTGTGGGCAGAAGTGGCAGGGTGTGGTGATGCTGTGTTTCGGGGAGGGGGTGGCTTGAAGGGAGAAGAAGGCATGAACAGATCCTTCCTGATCGACTTGCTCACGTCCTCTGGCCA